TCATGAGCCGTCGTTGGTTCGACGTAAAGGGCCTCGGTATAGAATTCCGGGACATGCTGAGTGGCGTTATAGACCGAACCGGTCACCGCTGCGATCAGCACAGCCGCTACGAAAAACACCACGAGAAACGTCTTTTTCCGCGCCAACGTTCAACAAGCCCAGTGGAAGTTTGCCCGCCCCAAATAAAAACCGCCTGCCGGAATCGTAGGGATTTGGCAGGCGGTCGTCAATTTGAATCAGCGGTTGGCTAGCAGCTTTGATCTACTCGCCAGCAAACCGCAACAAAGCGTATTTCTTCTTGCCGCTCCGTAAGACCATGACCGTTTCGCTGGCCAAATCGGTGGTGCCGAGCGATCTTTCGACCTCTTCAACGCGGCGATTATTGACGTAAGCCCCGCCCTGCGAAATGGTTCGGCGTGCGTCCCCCTTGCTCTTGCAAAGGCCTGACTCAACCAACGCATCGACGATGTTTAATCCACCATCGGCGGCCAGTCGGTCTCGGCTAAGCTCTTGGCTAGGCACATCCGCGAAAATTTCGATGAGCTGCTTATCGCTCAAATTATCGATCTCGCCGCCAAAGAAAATGTCGGTTGCACGTAGAGCACTTTCGACACCCTGCTTGCCGTGGACCAGTTCGGTCAATGCTTCGGCCTAGCGTTTCTGGCTTTGACGCTTATGGGGCTCTTCTTCGCGGGCTTTATCCAGCGATTCGATTTCTTCCCGTTCTAGTTCAGTCAGGAATCGCAAGCACTTGCCGGCATCTTCATCCGCGACGTTGATCCAGTATTGGTAGAACGCGTATGGACTTGTGCGATCGGCCGACAGCCAAATGGCGCCGGACTCGGTCTTCCCCATCTTGGTCCCGTCGCTTTTGGTCAAAAGCGGACAGGTCATACCGAAGAGTTGAGCCGATCGCATCCGGCGTCCCAGATCGATCCCAGCCGTGATGTTGCCCCACTGGTCGCTACCACCAATCTGCAGCGTGCAGCCATGCTTGTCGTA